CTGCATCTCCACTGCATCACTGCCACCTCTGGGCTGCCCTGTGCAACAGCGGTGGCAGTGCAGAGCAGACACAGGGCAGTCCTGCATGGGCTCCAAGCAGTTGTACCAGGAAGTGTCGGCAGTGGGAGGGGCCACTCTTCCCCTGCACTGAGCAGCAGTTTGTCCTGCCTGGGCCCCGTGCTGGCTCTTAGCTTGCGCGTCGGGGCTGAGCAATAGCAGCTGGGCAGAAACTGCTGCTTGGCGCAAGGGAAAGCGGCCCCTCTTCCTTTCCACCGCCGGGCAGTTTTTGCTGTGGCCAGATGGTGCAAAGTGGGTTGCGCACTGTTGGTGCTGGCGGGGAGGCACTACAGGGTGCTTGAGCTCTGGGCTGTTGTGGTGTGGGGGCAGGTGTTGACTAGCTCAGGGGGGCACATGTGGGGGTCTTCCATGCACAGTCCACATACCCTCAAACCCTTCTCGCAAATACCGCAGCCACACACACACCCGACAGATACTGTACACACACACAGCTCCCCACAAACCCCACACCCACCCACCCATATCCCCTGACATCCCTGCACACCCCACACACTATACAAGAGTAAGATTGCATTTGAGCTATTATGCAATCACTTCTACATATACAGTGCAAACGCACACAAATCAGGAAAAAACCTATTTTTAAAAATTAAATTAAAATATATTATTTTGGGTGTTTGATTTTTAGTATATAATTGGGTCCCCCCCCTCCCCATTTTAAGATGGCAAACCCTTTTCTGCAAAGGAATACTTCCAGGGGCATTGGGAGGGACTTCTGGTCTCAAGATGGTGACCAGGGGGCGGGGCACCTGTCAAGGGGCGGGGCTACCCATGCAGCCCTTGACAGCTTGCCAAAACTCGGTAAGTGGCCCTCTGCCCAAAATAATTGCCCATCCCTGGGCTAGGGCTAAAGGAGCTCTCTTGCTTTCCCCGCACTGTACAATTTCCCCTGCGCTCCTGCTGCCATGCACTCCCTTCTCTCCTATACAGCCCACCTTAAGTCACCCCAGCCAGGCAACAGCAACAGCTCTGCCCCCCTGGTACAGGGCAGGTAGCAGCCCTAGGCCTGTGGTGGGGTCAGGGCTGTAACTGCAGCTGCCAGCATCCCTTGCAGTTGGTACTTGAATCTGAGACCAGGTTTTTCTTTGCCCCTCCATGTTGAATTGGGAGAAAAACCTTGTCTTAAATTTGTATTAATACAATACTTACTCTTTGGAAGCAGATGTATTGTAGGCAAATCCTTTTTTAGAATTTTATTCACATACCAGTAAATAAACATCATAGGAGTAAGACTATATTATAAATATTGGTAGTATATTCAGTTAATTATTTTAGGCTAATATTTTCATTGCTCAGTAACATGCATTTATAAATAATCTGAATAGTTACTGTAAGTCAGAAATAAAATATATACAAAACGGTTTGTGCCACTTTTCCCCAGTTTTCTCTGTTTTAATAATCTTAACATGTTTGCCTATAATAGAAGTAAAGGTATATTTAAAAATATAATTTGGCAGTGTCCTAAAAAAAATATTTAGTAATTGAAAATGTCAAAAGATCAATATGGGATACATCTGTATCATTCCATAAAATACAGCCAACACTGTCATTCTGAGAGCAGAAATAAATATAGTACTTTTCCTCCTATAGAATAACACACTGGGCATGTCTACGCATTCATTAATGTGCAATAGTTACTGCACATTTAGTTTAGTACTTGCTCAGTTCAGTACAGTTACTGTGCAATAGTGCGAGCGCATGGCTTTTTAGTGACACTTACTGTGCAGTAGACTAATGCTTATTGCACAGTAGCGTATTAACATGCTTTTTTGCCTAGCACACTACTGTGCAGTGTTATTATGCTACTGTGCATTAAACATCTTGCATAGACATGCATTTTTATTTTTATATATATATGGATAGGGGTGCACCAATAGAGATTTTTGCAGCCAATACTGGTAGCCGATTTTTAAGGAGGCATATCAGCCAATACTGATCCGATTTCCAATACCCAGCCTGGCAGCGTGGAGAGCTGCTTCCAGCTGGTAAGTCTGGTGTGGGGGGGAAGGGGGTCTGGAGGGGCAGATCAAGGCCCCCACTGTGAGGGAGGTGTAGGGTTGGGGCAGGGGCTGGGGTAAGCACTGCCAGGGCAGGTGCGGGATGGTGCCATGCAGAGCCGACCTGAGCGAGGCCCAGGGCAAATCAGCCCATGCGGGGCCCCTCCCTCACTCTGATCCCACAAGCCTTGGACCTGAAGAAGCTGCTGCCACCTTGTGGAAGTGGAGGAGGGGGAGCGACTGGATGTGAAGGCAGCGGTGCAGAGTCTCTGCAGCTGCTCTTCCTAGCTCGGCGAGGGCCGGGGTGGTTGCCCCCGATTTGTCCCCTCCCTAGGGACAGCCCTGGTGCCACGGCTTGTGCGGAGAGGGCGGGGAGCGGCTCC